TTTTTTTTTTTGTTCTTCCACAGTGATTTTCATAGTGACAAAGAACATTGTAGATGTTCAATGTAAAACTTGTGGAGGGCTAGGGATGTGGCTCAGTTGATAGAGTGCTTGCCTAGCATACCTGAAACCCTGGATTCGAATCCCAGATCTACATAAATTGGGCCTGGTGGTGGATGCCTGCAGTCCTAGCACTGGAAAGAGTGAAAGCAAGATGATCAGGAGTTCAGAGTCGTTCTTAGCTACATAGTTAGGTCCAGGCCAGTCTGAGTTGCATGAGACTCTCTCAAAAAAGAAATAAATATATAAAATAAATAAATAAAACTTGTGAGTTAAATTTAATATATTTTTTATAGAAATGAATAAGGAATAATAGATATTTAGGCCTTTGCTTTCATGTCTTTTAGTCTTACTGCCATTATCCATTATTATAGGTACTCATGTCTATCAGATACTGTGTTATGTATTTTACAGTTAAGGAAAATAGAACTTATACTACCTTATTCAGTTTATAAAGTTACCGTAAAATCAGTTTCTTCCAGGTTTGTTATTTGATAGAACGGCAAACCTTCTTCCATGCCTTGTACATTGTTGCTTAATTAATGATGCTTGATGCTTGCAAATAAGTGGTAGTTTTGAAATTGAGTATACTTAAGAATATACATAGTAATTAATTTCATACCAAACTACTAAAATGTTACCATGAAAGTATGTATATGTCTCCCATTTTTAAGAGTGAATTTATATATTTTTCTAACCTCATAGTATAAGGGAGGTATATAGGTAATTTTATGGTTTTGGTTGACTTGTTTCATATCTTTATCACTAAGGCATTTGGTATTTTGTTAGAGGATGCAAAGCAACAACCACAACCATGAGTGACTTCATGTCATTATAAGGCTAATAGTAATTATGTTTTAAAAACTGTCTCCTTTGTATACTCAGGTGGTTAAGAGAAACTGTTAAAAGCATATGCAACTTTATTATAGTTACTTGCCCTTCTGACTAAAAAGGGAAGCAGGGCTAGAAGAATTGATAGTAACTCTGGTTTTGAAGCTTAGAGCCAGGTCGTATTTCTGCATTGCTAAGGGCTTCCTCAACTGCCTTGAAACCCTTAGTTAATAACCATTATTTTCAGCATTATTCAGTTTGCTGCTGTCCTCACTGACGGTGATTTGTTGAGCAAATAAGGAAGTAAATAGTGCAGGTTTTTGATTGCTCTCCTACTGAAAACATAGTGGAAAAGTTAGGTGTTGTAGCATCTTTTATAAAACTTATCATGCAGCAAACAAAACCTTTAGTGTATTTAGTGTACTCATTATGATGATCTTCCATAGAATGTTGAGTAGTGTGTGACAGTAAGATAGCTTTGCTTTGCAAAGCAGTCATTAAGTATGGTGTTAGTTGGAAGTTTGTCACAGACATCTTTTTTCAGATTGAGTAAATTTCTATTTCTAGTTTGTGTATTTTCTCAAATTTTTTCTATTATCTTTTGAGATGATAAAAAGATTGGCTTTTTTTCAACTGCACATATCTTAAACTGATTTTCATTTTTAACTTATCTTTGCATCACTATGAAGAACTCTACTTGATATTCTTTTTAGGTCTACTTAAATTTGATTTGCTAAATCCATTGAGCATCCTTATGTTTATTTGAGCAGTTTGGATATTGGCCTGCAGTTTTGTTGTAACAGGCATACCTTGTTCTGGTGTGGAGGTACTTCTGGCGTTATACAATGAGGTGAGAATTAGTCCCTCGTTAGTTTTCTGAAAATGTTTATACAGAATTAGTAGTACCATTGTAGAATTTAAAAATGATGGCAGGTTAGCAGAAGTTACCTTTGTGGTGACTTTTTAAACATTAAACTGAGTTTTATTAAAAGATAAAGGGCTATGTATATTCTGTGTTTCTTGAGTGAGCATTAGTTTTTGTCTTTTGAGGAATACTCACATTTTATCTAAATTGATAAATTTATCAACATAAAGTTATTCAGAGTGTTTTCTTGTTTTCCTTTTTGTATCTTTATGCCATGGCTTTATATGGCTTTTTTTTCTTCTCCTTAATTAATTGTTTTTCCTTTTCCCACCACTCCTCTCCAGAGTCTCTTCATGAAGCATTGATTGGCCTAGCCTATAACTTGTTCTGTAGCCTAGGCTGGCCTCAAAACTTTTTGCTTCTGCCTCCCTGGTGCTGGAATTTGAGCTATGTATCACCATACTCACCTTCTAGGTTTTGTTTTGTT